CGACTCATTAGATTCATTTGTTTTTGAATCAGACTACACTGGTTGTGCTGTATTTTTTGATTAATTCATTTGGTAGTCGGTTCTGGTATTTATTTATTTATCTATAAATTTTTTTTAAATGGAACTGCTTCTGAATAAGAATTGGTTCTCAGTTTCCAACTGTAGTTACAAGGCTCAGTGTGTGGTTGGTGTTTGCAGATCTATTATTTTAGATAAGTGCTTCAACATGAAGCCTCTCTTGCCAAGTCTCACTGGATCTCAGAGTGAGTGAATTGCTCAAACAAGCAGAAGTTGTATTGAAATTGATCACGATTGGCCAGGTTGGTTGTTTTCCTGGATTTCTTTCCGTTATCTTGTAAAAGCAATACATTTTAGGAAAACAATCCCAGTGTGACAGCATGTTTGCTTGAGATCAAATGATAGTCATCGTGAAGTTAATTTGGCCCAGCACAAAACATCCTTTAAAATGGAAATATTTGAGTTGCCCAATGTTGAGATTGATGGTGTTACTTTATGGCTGCTTAGGGTTTCTTTTTAAGGTCTTTTTGGCTTTCAGGGCCTTTTCTCACTCATCATGTACACTGAAGGGGCCAATATATTGTCTTTACCTCATCCGCCCTCTCAATCTAACCGAAATGAACTTTAGAAAAAACATAATTCTTTAAAGCCGTGTTTGCAGTCATTACAGTATTCCAGTGCGAGTGTTGTTTGAGGTGTCGTGAGTGACGTGGATGTCTTCCACTGGTTGGGAAAGCGTTTTGGACATCGAGTGATAGATGATCAGCATTGGTCTGGCCAGCTGTGGTTGTTTTCATCCCCAGCGTCTTGGCCAGAGTGGTTTCAGTGTTTAACAGAGCAGCTTCTTTGGGATTGTTTAGCTCCAGATTTCTGCTCTGTCAGATCTTTGGAACCATTGTGTGGAATGGAGGTTCTGGCTAATGGAGGAAGGCAGCAACACTTGCTCAGAAATATTAGTGGTCTACATACCCACAAATCTGCTATCTTCTCCTTTTCGTTAATGGAAGATTATAAAAAAAAAAAAAGTACAAAACTGCCCTGAGGTGCTTGGAATCAGCAGGTGTGAACAGCTTGGAGACCATTATTAAGTGTTATTGAGGGAATGCTTTAAATTAAATAGAGCAGACCTGTTTTCATTTCATCTGTGTCAGACTTTGTCAAGGGATAGACTGTGCCTTGTACACCAGAGTTTTCTTTTTTTCTTCAAATGGGCCATTTTCTATAATTAAACCACAAGCCCTTTGTCGTATTAAGTGGTCTGGGTTAAACACATGACCCAGAGTGTTGGAAAGACGCCCAAAGATGGAAAGTCAGAAACAGCGATATAACACTTTCAACATGCTCTTATAAAATTAGCAGAATTATAAGATATATGGCCAACGTCTTGACCTAATTTGATCGGTATGAACTCCACTTTATATATATATATGGTTTATGAATAATATGGTATAGTTACAACCCTTTTATATTTAGCTGGAATCCAAGAGTATTTCTCTTCATGCCATGTAGTTTAACGAGGCATTAAATGCAAGAAAAAGAAACTTATCTTGGACAAAATAGCAGTTGTCTAGGTTCGTTTGCCGTGGTACATGTCCAGCTCTTTGGAGGTCGGTTCAAGTCGTTAGTAAAAGTGGCAGTGCCCGTTGAACACATCTGTGCAACTTTGTTTCAGCCTTTGACAAAGTCTGGGACATTGCCTCAATGTCTGGAGAACCAATCATAATATTTTTGTTCACAGTAAAATTTTTAATCTTAAAACCTCAATGAACAGTTTAAGAAGGCTTTTAGTGTGTTTAAAATAAAATGTATTATATAATTTGATATAAATGTAATTTATATTGTTTAATATTATAAAATATGAATCATAATTATAATTATAATGCTATAATTAAGATATATTTCTATATTTTTTTAATTGTATTTTTGTTTTGAAATCTCACAATATAAATGTGTGTGTGTGTGTGTATACACACACTTATGGGCGTCATGTATTTGGAAGCTTTACTTTCGAGAAGAAGTGTTTGATACACATAATCTACGTTGGAGGTATTGTGTGTGGGTGTGTGTGCCTGTACTTTCTTAAACATATGAGAGTGTTCCTGCTTGTGTGTGTGTGTGTGTGTGTGTGTTTCTCAGTCCCTGTGATGCTGACAGACTGAAATTAGCTTTGGATTCCCATATGCACAGGGCAGGCTTCCAGCAGACCCCAATTACAATGCAGCAAAGCCAGAGAGGGTGCAGGGCAGACTGTGTGGAGCCCTCCTGGTCTGCTCCCTCGCTCAGGCACACACACACACACTGTCACTACCACAGACTTGACAGACTACCGCAATGAGGCGCACAGCACGCACAGATCTGACTCACACACACAGGCGTTCACACACACTTTTATGTGGACACCTGCATCATCAGACTCATTCACACACATTTTAGATTAACCACATGTGCAGCTGTGCGCAAGATTCAACACTACCAGTCACTCTGGAGTTAATCGAGTTAAACCTACGGACACATTGAGACATACTTACCTACTTAAAACAAATAACCTGTGGGGTAGAAAGTGAAAAAAGTAGCATAAAAATTTTGTAGAGGGGGAAAAATATATATAGCTGTAGTCCACCACCGGAGGGAGCCTCTCTGTATTTCCTGTGATTCTGTTTTTATTTACTTTATGAAAACATGTGAAATCCTGTGGTCGATTGTATAGAATTTTATTGTGAAGTCATTTTTCTTTCACAGTGATTGAGAATGACATGATTATTTCCCTTGGCCTGAAATTGATTTTGTGGCTTTTCGTAGTAATGCAGACGGTGACAGGCTCATCTTAGAACTGCTCATGTCTTCATTTTGTCTTCAGTCCTTGGTTAAGACTTAGGCTTAAATTGTCAGAAAAACATGTGAGTCGCAGTATGTGCAGGACTCAGCAATTAAGACATATACACATTGCTATTTAAAAAAAAAAAAAAAAAGTTTAAGTAAAAACATTAGTTTTTTTTACAAATGTATTAAACATTTTTAAAATTATGTGATTGAGAATGACATGATTATTTCCCTTGGCCTGAAATTGATTTTGTGGCTTTTCGTAGTAATGCAGACGGTGACAGGCTCATCTTAGAACTGCTCATGTCTTCATTTTGTCTTCAGTCCTTGGTTAAGACTTAGGCTTAAATTGTCAGAAAAACATGTGAGTCGCAGTATGTGCAGGACTCAGCAATTAAGACATATACACATTGCTATTTAAAAAAAAAAAAAAAAGTTTAAGTAAAAACATTAGTTTTTTTTACAAATGTATTAAACATTTTTAAAATTATGATTGCTTTAAATTCATAAACTCACTTTTCTTGGAAAATTACACTGCATACAGTCCATTCTGTTTGTGTTTAAATCTAAGTGGCACTGGCAATCTCTATCTAGCTTACTTTTAAAAATATGCTATAAAGGGGATCAATGTTGATTTACTGTGTTGTTTGTTGATCCCCTTTATAGCACATTTTTAAATGAAGAGATTTAGTCAAAGGCAGAGTCAAATGTGAGGTTCAGTTGTCCCTTTGCATCTGAATTACAATTTTCCTGTAATGCTTTTATTCCAAAAAGGGAACCAGAAAACCCACGCAATTCATAATATCTCGGATAATAAGCTCTCTCATAACTTGACAGGAATTTAAAGGATATTTTTGTTAATGGGCAAAAACTATGACTTAAATCTAAGTGGCACTGGCAATCTCTATCTAGCTTACTTTTAAAAATGTGCTATAAAGGGGATCAATGTTGATTTACAGTGTTGTTTCAAGAGATTTAGTCAAAGGCAGAGTCAAATGTGAGGTTCAGTTGTCCCTTTGCATGTGAATTACAATTTTCTTGTAATGCTTTTATTCCAAAAAGGGAACCAGAAAACCACGCAATTCATAATATCTTGGATAATAAGCTCTCTCATAACTTTCAATCTTTCATCTCCTTTCTGCTTTGCAGATCCTTCATACTTGAGTAGCTGGGCTGGATGAGTCAAGTTCTTCTAACAAGCATACGTAAATATTTAAGATCCCGTCTTACAGAATGTTTATAATTCATTTGGACCTAGAAAAGGGCCTAATCCAGGAATCATAATTTCAACAATAAGGTCGTCATAGTTTGCAGGCCCACAAGCTGCAATTTTATGGATGAGGAATTGCTAATTTAAAAAGGAGCTGGAGGAACACTCAGAGGAGACCTTTGTGGTTTTAATATATAAGAATTGGCCCACCAGCGTTTTTCTAGCTTCATTTTGGGCATTAGTATTGGCATTAATATACGACAGGGTTAATACTCAGTTGGCTTTAAAGGGTCCTCTTGGCTCTCTTTTGCATCAGTGTGGGCTGCAGTTGAATAGTTTTACTAAAAAGGGGGGGTCATGTTAGCCACAGTCTCTATTTTAGGCTCCTGTCCATCATTGCACAGATATTCTTCTGTAGGAGAACATTCCTTAAGTTTACACCCCAAAAGAAATGGGAGTTGAAGGGAAAATTAAGTATTTTAAGTTTGGATCTCTCTAACAAACATGCCAACATTAACTAAAATAATCATCATGACAGGAATTTAAAGGATAGTTTTGTTAAAGGGCAAAAACTATGACTAAAACAATCAGACAAAAAGACTATAAGACCTTTTTGGGACGTGTCTAACCACTATGTGGTTTCTTTTCATTTTAGTACAGTGAAGCTTCTCGTTTTAATTATAGCAGTAATATCTTGACTTATTAGCTGACAGTAAAATGCAGGTACCACATGTGTGCACATGGTGTGCTGCTGCTTTATTAAAGGTGAACTCATGCAACATGTGGAAAGCCACTTAAGCATTCTTGTCATAACTGTAACTGAGCCTGCTTGTGTAATCCATCTTTTTGTAATGCATGCTTTTTTAGATTTTTGGATTATGTCGAACCACTTTCTGTTAGTTCACTTATCCTTGTTTCTCTAACTAATGTCATTTTCCATTTGTCCTGTCAGGTTTTGTAAGAAGAATATTCAATGAATAGTAAAGGAAGGACGATTATGGATCCGTTGCATCAAAACAGGGCTTGGTGGTGGATATTGGTGATCCACTATGTGGCGCTACAACTCATGACCATCCACTCATCCATGGTGCCAGGAACGTTGCAGCTCCAGCTAGATGAGGAACAGCCAGCAGGAACTGTAGTAGGTGACATTAGTGCTGGCCTCCCACCTGACATGACTGCAACCCATTATTTCATCTCAGATCATCAGGGTACAGGTGTCGGCACCGATCTGGACATCGATGAGAGTACAGGGATCATAAAAACCGCAAAGGTCTTGGACCGGGAAGTACGGGACCGTTACAGCTTCATAGCAGTCACCATAACCGGAATAACCGTAGAAGTCACCATCTTAGTAAATGACATCAACGACCACGCTCCAGTGTTCCCAAGAAAAAGAGCCATGTTTAAGATTCCAGAACAGACAACCATTGGCACCAAGTTTCCTCTTGAGCCTGCTTTGGATGCAGATGAGGGCCAGCTCACTACGCAAGGCTACATCATAACGGATGGAAATGTAGGACAAGCTTTTCTTCTTGAAACCAAACGAGGATCCAACAAAGTGCTCTACTTGGATTTGGTAGTCAATGCAGTTTTGGACAGAGAGACCAGATCTTCGTACACTCTGCTCCTGGAAGCATTTGATGGTGGTTCACCCAAGAGGACTGGACAAATGATCCTGGATTTGATTGTGCAGGACATCAATGACAACGCCCCAGTCTTCAACCAGAGTCGCTACCATGCAGTGATCTCAGAGAACCTTCAACCTGGGAACAATATACTGCAGGTGTTTGCTTCAGATGCTGATGAAGGCGACAATGGGTTGGTGCTCTACGACATCAACAGGAGACAGAGTGATCCTGATCGCTACTTTGTCATTGACACTCGAACTGGAGTTATCACTCTGAACAAGCCTTTGGATTTCGAGATGAGAAGAGTTCACGAGCTTGTGGTACAGGCTCGGGACAATGCCAGTCAACCAGAGGTCACCAATGCTTTTGTGACCATCCAGGTGCGAGACTACAATGACAACCAGCCCACCATGACCATCATCTTCCTCAGTGAGGATGGTTCTCCACGCATCTCTGAAGGAGCGCAGCCTGGCCAGTACGTGGCTAGGATTTCAGTCACGGACCCTGATTATGGAGAATATGCCAATGTGAATGTGTCTTTGGAAGGGGGTGATGGAAAGTTTGCTTTGACCACCAAAGATAGCATCATCTATCTCATCTGTGTAGATCAGATCCTTGATCGTGAAGAGCAAGACCATTATGAACTCAGAGTCTTGGCCACAGATTCTGGCACTCCTCCATTACGGGCAGAGTCTTCATTTACCATTCAGGTCACGGACGTTAACGACAACCCGCCTTTGTTTGACCAGCCAGAATACATCCAGGTTATTCCAGAGGTTGCCTTTCCGGGAAGTTTTGTTGTACAGGTTACAGCACGGGACAAAGACCAGGGACCCAACGGAGATGTTCAGTACAGCATCCTACAGAACGAAGAAACTCATTCAGACTGGTTCAGTGTTGACGCAGTCACTGGTATCGTCACCACCTTGACCCAGCTTGATTACGAAACGGACCCTATGCCGAGTGTAACTGTGGTTGCTGCCGACAGAGGACGACCACCTTTATCTTCTACAGCTGTGGTCAAAGTGATCCTACAGGATATTAATGATAATGAACCTGTGTTTGGCAGCAAGTTCTACAATGCATCCATTAAGGAGAACACCGCAGCAGGGACCTGTTTCATGGAGGTAGGACTATTATTTCTTTGGCTGAATTTGTATTATACTGGTTAATATGCAAACTTCTGGGGTTTTTGGGCATGAAGTGTGTGAAAACCCCAATGCAGAATGACTGTATATTTAAGACAGATTGTTAGAGAGCGCTTTTCAAGTGTGTAAACTGAGTAAATGGAAACAGTCATTTTAGGAAATTAACCTGGAAACCAGCATGATGAATTGTAAGATATTGGGGAGCGAGCTTAAGTAAGCTTTGTTTAGATTGGACTGCTTCAGTTGGAAGTTAGTCACTCTCCTCAGGCTGTGGGGGATTGTTTTTTACTAGCTGTTTTTACTTACATCTCTATGGAGGACGAGAAATGTCTTAAGTATAAATAAATAAATAAATGAATAAATAAATAAATACATAAATGCATAAATAAATAAATGTAGAAATACATAAATGAATAAATAAATATAGAAATACATAAATAAGTAAATGAAGAAATAAAGGAATAAATAAATAATTAAATGCTGAAATAAATAAATAAATGTAGAAATACATAAATAAATAAATGAATAAATAAATAAATAATTAAATGCTTAAAGGGGTCCTATTATGCTCTTTTACAAAGTCTTGATTTTGTTTTGGGGGTGTACTAGAACATGCTCTCATGCTTGGTGGTTCGAAAAACGCATAATTTTTCACATAATTTATATTATTAAAATACCTTTCTCCCCAGCCTGGCACAAACGGCTCGATTAGTTCCGGCTTTGATGAACTTCTTCATCGTCTCGTCTGATGCACTCAACCAAGCGTTCTAACCACAACCGGAAACCAACGCTGTAGTCCAAACGAGCCGTTCGTTGTAGTTCTTGAAAAGGGATTTTTTAAAAACGAAATATCTCCCTTTGGAGTGGACTTTGAGATTTGTAACTTTCTAGATCTTTTTTATGCCCAAACAAACTCACTACACACTGACTAAAATTAAAAAAGTGAAAAAGCATAATAGGACCCCTTTAAGTAATTTAATGCAGATATGCATAAATGAATGAATAAATGATTTTGTCAAAAGTGTCATTTTTATTTGTGCTATTTTTGTACCATTTGTGTTATACTACATTTATTTCTACATTTATTTATGTATTTCTACATGTATTTATGTATTTCTACATTTATTTATTTTTACATTTATTTATGCATTTCTACATTTCTACATTTATTTATTTCTGTGCCCGTATGTTAATAAGGTAGGCGGTCCTAACCTCTCTCAGTGCAGGATTTTTTTAACAGGATCGTTATCATTACGGCTGTACTACTGTGGATACTAGTTCTGTTAAATATGGCGGGTTTTTTAAGTACCATTGCTAATGATTTGCATTTAACACTAGAACTACCGGAAATCTATAACTACTAGAATGGCCATAGCGGTCATTCTGACCGTTCATACTAGACTGAACTGAATGCCATTTTTGTCATATATTTACATTCGAAGCTTCTTTTGAGGTTTTACAATGAAGCTTTGAATGTCTGTCGTCATATTTTATGACGTCATCACCCAACAAAATACAATATTTTTTGTAATATTTAATTGTGTAAGAGCTACGTAGACTGCTTCCGAATGTGCGTGCCTCGCTTTGTGTCCGGCAAGCGGGAGAGCAAAAGTTTTTCACTGCAGTGAAAATGTTGTATTTGAAAGTGGCTGCTACTCAGTGCTGATATGGATGTAGACCTTGATCCAGCTGTGTTCGCCAGTTTTCAAGATGTAGCAGGTCAGCTTCACATGCGCTCTGAAACTGCGGTCAAGCCAGCCGTGTCTTGAAAATACACGGTCAAGCCAGCCGCACTTTTTTTTGTTTTGCGCGTCTAATCGCGCACTTGCGGTATGGGTGCTAGGAGCGGTCAAAATGGATGTAAAGACGCTGTCATAACGCCGTTTCCTTTATTTTGCTGATATTTTCAATAGATTGCTGTTCACTGTGACCCAAAATATGTCTGCATAAAACGTAATTTAACCCTAAAAAGACCATAAAGCGACATCAGAATATATTTTTATATATTTTATAAACATTTATAAAATCTTTCCATTAAGTTCCGATTTAAGTTAAATCTATTGTACAAATTTTGTATAAATTAAAGGCAAATCACTCCAAAAATCAATGTGCATTCTAGCAGATGCACCATTACCAATTTTCAAACACTCATAAAAACCTTTTCTTTATAGCTTTGCTAATTCATTTAATTGATTCCTGTTCACAGTCACACTGACTATTGCTGTATTAATTTTCAAGTCATTTTACTGTACAGTTTTAGAGAAAATTAAAGGCAAATTCACCCCAAGTGTAAAAGTGCATTATAGCACTTTTAAATCATGTCCCATTTTCAAACACTCATAAAAACCTTTTCTTAATAGGTTTGCTCATTCTTTGAATTGATTCCTGTTCACAGTCACCCTGACTATTACTGTATTAATTTTCAAATCATTGTACTGTATAGTTTTGCAGAAAAATAATGGCAAAATCACTCCAAAAAACAAAGTGCATTCTAGCAGTTGCACCATTACCCATTTTCAAACACTCATAAAAATCTTTCCTTTATAGTTTTCCTCATTCTTTCAATTGATTCCTGTTCACAGGGACCCTGACTATTACTGTGTTAATTTTCAAGTCATTTTACTTTACAATTTTGGAGAAATTTAAAGGCAAATTCACCCCAAAGTGCATTCTAGCACTTACATCATGTCCCATTTTCAAACACTCTTTCCTTCATAAAAAAATGATGTATATTAATAAATGTTTTTGTACTAATAAAATACAAATGTTAATGTACAAAAAATAATGTATTCACAAACATTAAATCATAAAAAAAAATCCTGAAATTGTATTATTTTTGTCACGATGGAAAATAGCAATAAATAAATATTGTCGCTTTATGGTCTTTTAAGGGTTAAATTATGTTTTATGCAGACATATTTTGGGTCACAGTGAACAGCAATCTATTGAAAATATCAGCAAAAGTATAAAGGAAACGGCGTTATTACACAAAATAATGTTCTTTTTAGCAACATCATAGGACCCCTTTAATAAATTTAGCAAGCTAACTAGGCTAATTGGTATCTCGTGTTCATTCCTAACAGAAACGGTTGTTCTGACTGGTTTGCCTAATTGACCAATCCTGTATTGAGAGAGGTTAGGACCGCCTACCTTATTAACATACGGACATAGAAATACAGAAATAAATAAATGTAGAAATGCATAAATAAATGTAAAAATAAATAAATGTAGAAATACATAAATAAATGTAGAAATACATAAATGTAGAAATAAATGTAGTATAACACAAATGGTACAAAAATAGCACAAATAAAAATGACACTTTTGACAAAATCATTTATTCATTCATTTATGCATATCTGCATTTATTTATTTCAGCATTTAATTAATTTATTTCTTCATTTATTTATTTATTTATTCATTTATTTATGTATTTCTGCTGGCGGGGGTTGAGACACACTCCAGCGAGCTGACAGAGGGCCCAGCAGACGGGAACTTGGCCCTGGGGTTTCTCCGGAGAGAGGGAGTATCGTGCCTGGGAGAGGTTTTGGGACTGGCTGACTCCTTTCTGCTGTAGAGTGGGAATAGGAGCTGCACAGGGTCAAGTGGGAGGTCTGGGAGTAAAATTAGAAGTTTAAAGTGGTATTACTTAAGTTCGGAATTAGGAATCGGATCAGCAGCACTCGGGTCTACAAATCAAGTGCAAATCAAATCTGATCGAGTGGCTCCTGTCTTGCTGTCAGTTTCCATCCTCATTGAATGAGTGCTAATGGTTTACAGACAGTTGCCAAAAGACTTCAGTTTTCAACACGAGAACAATATAAGGAGTTACTAAGTCTATCCTTACAACCATCAAAGCGAACTTGCCAAGGACGAGGTCCAAACCAACTGTCTCTCAGGCTGTGGCATGAACGACTGCTGTAGATGGGAGCTGGCATGCCACTCAAGAGCAGTTGGGAGTTTGATGATGCACAGACTGCAGAAATCACTGCCAAATCCACATCCAAGCATCACAGCACGGCACTTGATGAGTTGCTTTTTTCCCTTCATCAGAGATCCTTGAGCCCAGAGTTCCCACCGCCTCCCTTTTTCTGAATCAAAGCTTCTGTCCAAATGCCATTACAATGGGGCTATTGTGATCATTCATTTAACATCTGAACTGGGCTTGATTTCATTTTTTCCAGTGTATCCCTCACAGCGGAGCATGATTAGTTTAATGTGTACTGGCACTGCCGATTTACTACATTTTAGGTTTTGTCACTTTACTTGTGCATCACTGCCGTTGGGCTGAGGAATAATTAACTGGGTTTTATTTTTCTTTTGGTGGAATTTCCACCCTTTGTAATGTGAAAACTAGCGACTATACCCAGTTTTATTTTAACCGTAAAGATGACATGCAAAAGACTTGTGGCATTGGAATCAAGGGTGTCTAAAATTATCAGACATGTTACTAAATTCTTATGACCATAACTCTGCTTTCAATTACTACACACTATTATTTATAAAGTGTAAAACTGAGTTAATTATCAGTCAATTTAGTTTTCATTCATTTATATGATATCATTGTTAGTTGTGGAGTTTTCTAGTTTCAGTATGGTTTTATTTAAGTTTTAGTATTTTAGCGCTGTCAAAGTTGTGCTAACTGGTATCATTCCATTTAAATTCAATTCAGTTAAACTCAGTTTCTCAGCATAGTCTAGTGTTATTTGTATGTAGTGACTTTTTATTATTAATGGAGGCAAGTTGTAAAGATTTTGCTTTATAATATGATTTTTCCCAGTTATGCTAGTTTTTTGTTTTATTAATCTTCATTAGAATTGCACCGATTGTAATTTTCTTGGTCATTTCCGATTTCCAATTTTTTTTGTAAGTGTGACCTGCCGATAGCGATTTTTGCCGATTCTGATTTTCTATCTAAGAGCTATAATTGACAGCATACAGAAACAAAAATCTACTTTTTTTTTCAATGCAAAAATTAT